TATCTATTTTCAACGTCTTGTTATGAGAGTGGATAGATATACATAATTCGAGAAAACTAAGACAAATATATTCGTCAAAAACTTCATGGTTACATGTTTCGCTGCGGGGGGCATCATTATAAAAAAATTAAAAAACAGATATACAATTTATCACCTAGATAATCTATGTTTCGATTCTCGAGAAGAATATAACAAATGGAGTAAAAAACACGAAAATTTTTGGACTCTCATGATCATGACATGGACTTGGATTGAATCTGAATATGAAATTTAGCTTCGACTAGACACCAGTTGATGAATTTAAACTTTAAGAGTCCTTTGCTGTCGAATCAGAGACCATACTGATATATAATATGTATAAAAACCTATTATGTACCTACTAATATTATAACTTGTTCATGCAACTTTAGTTTAAAAAGCATAGTTCTCACAACTATAAATCTATCTCTCATAAAGAAGACAGAAGAACTTATGTTCACACACTTAGAACTGTAACCAATTTAAAAAAATATTCACTCTACAGAAAAACTTAAGTGACGATTAACCCTCCTCCGTTTGAACAAGTTAAGGTTAAATCGTCCAGAAAATAAAGTTGAAGGCAGAGAGTTCCAGAGGTGGGCAGTACGCCACAAAAAAGAGGCCCTATATATAGAGGTCCTCGAGTTAGCTAACTTTACCACATACATATGAGATGCCCGTGAGGTTCTTGTGATTTTCAAATAACTCCTAACAGAACATCTACCGTAGTAATAGCGAAAGAATTTCAAGTTCGCCACTTTGAGTCTAGATTCGAGAGATTGCAATGAATCGGTGAGAGTTGGATTATCGATCATTTTTATTGACCCTATTCGTACTGCATCTGCTCCAGAGATGTGAGGACAGTATATTCCATACATGGTCTGATTTGAGCCTTATAAAGGAGAAGAAGTTGTTCAGAAGTGAAGAAGCTTTTTACATAAAACAGAGAACCTAATTTTTGAGAAACGGTTTTGGCGAACGAATATACATGGTCATGCCAAGACAAGTTGGTCGATGCGGTCAGCTACATTGAACTCGCCAACTCCCCTAAATAAATATATCAACTTTCTATCTGAGGCAAAGCCTATATCACTATTGCTGGATGATGAATACCTACCTGTTCCCTAGCATTTCTATAGATAAATGTTCAAAATTATTCGGGAATGTGTTGCTTGAAGTCAGCCGTCCTGAATATGAACTTTTTGCCTGTCTCAGACCCGGAATGGATTATCTCCAATGAGCTAGCATTCGGTCCTTTTCTCATCTGTTCATTTCTTCAGAGACGTGGCATACAAAAAGGCTTTTGGCCTTGAAAAGATGTTAAAGCGCCTTGCTTTGCGAGGTGGTCTGCCTCCTTGTTGTCCTCTATGCCCTGGAGCCGAATTATCGTCTCAAGGAGTAGAGCTTCCCGATAGAACGAATGCTTTGTCCTTGTCAACGTGATCGGAAAGTAAACGAGAATTATAAAGACGAAACATGTGTTCTCTCTGGGAGCTCTACTCCCTGAGACAAGAATCGGGCCGCTGGTGTCCTGGCACCCACATCAGGGTTACTTTGTTTCTCACTGCCGGTTGCTTAAGGATATTTTTACCCTCCCAAACTAGCTGCGAATTGTACTTGGTGTCTCTATAGCCGCTTGCCTGTCGGACATTATGTAAATGCACTCTTTTAAGGAACTCTTATTGGGCACAGATGTTTATGGCCAGTACCTTGGCTTGGAATATTGTGGGCGTTTTACCCATTGCTAAGGAGAGTTTAAAATTTGGTCCAGTCTTCCCAAACCGACTTCTTCTTTAGCTTCGAACCATCTATATTCCACAATGATACGGTTTTCGCTTGCATTCTTTAATGATTGGCGTAGTTTCACAACCGTACTTCATATGGAATGTCAAAGTCCAGTGATGTTATCATATGATATCTTGGTTTACTTTGGCACTCGAGCTTTATGAATTAAAGGATGCATACTTAAGTGGCCATCCAGATTACCAGGTTTAAATCTTTTTGTCTGGAATAGCCTAGCCATCTATTCTATTTTAGACATAGGTACTTTTGTAATACATCCCAGCACACCTAATACATTCAAAAGGTCTTGTCGACACAATGTCGAAATCCGAAGTTCGCTCCTCAAAATTTGACAATTGCCCAGTCATCTACGTTGGGCAAATGGGCAAGAATATTTATACAGGGTGAGCCAATGAAAACTTTCGACCCCGATTTTTTTTACCTGAAATAAGAATCTGGATTAACGCTCAGACACGTCGGTTTTAGATTTGAGGGGGGCTTATTTTTCACTTTTTACCCCTGTAGCTTCAACCTCCTAGCTGAGGGGGAGAACAACCCCTTATATTTCAAAAGGGGATAGGGGTCATGTCATACCTCTTCTGACTAGAATTTCGTCTTTTTTATCCGTAACGAAATGACAGCTTGTCAAAATCTTGGAGATAGACTATTGTTTTAGTAGGAGTAAAAGGGATACTTGGCTCTCTCAAAAAAGATAGTTACAATTTACAATTCACGTGTACACCGCTTATTAATAATAATAACAAAACAAGTTTATTTGTATAAGTATTTTTATCAACGGAGATAAGTGAGTATCGCTCTTACTTCTACTAAAACAATAGTTTATTTCCAAAATTTTGACAATCTGTCACTTCGTTAAAGATGAAAATAATAAGGCGGAATTCTAGGGTCCTAAAGAATTCGAAGAGACTTTTCAAAAGAGGTATGACACGACCCCTATCTCGTATTCAAGTTTAGGGGGTTGTTCTCCCCACAGCTAGGGGGTTTTGGGGGCTAAAGCTACTGGGGTGGAAAAAACTGAAAAATCGGACCCCCAAAAAAATCCGACGTGTCTGAGCGTTTTTCCAGATTTTCATTTCAAGTCCAAAAAATCGGCGTGGAAAGTTTCCATAGGCCCACCCATATCTGGTGTTGATATAGTCCAGGAACCATCGGAAAATCTGAGAAGCATTAAGATTTCAGTATCATCAGTGTCATGTAGCATTTGGCTTACCATCTCACCAGAGAACTATAAATGCATTACCTACACCTGAAAATGTTGAGACGCTTCAATAATTGTGCGGCAAGGACAAAAAACTATACTATAGAACTATAGATACTAGGTATAGTATACCTAATCCCTATAATATACTAAAGAAATTAGTTATAGGAAAAGATGTGAGAAACCCAGTACCTACTGGATTGTGTTATCTAGTTCTTCATCTTTATCCTTATTCGTTTTCCAATTAGTTTATCCGCGAAGCAGCTGCATGATACGGCATTCGCCATTTCTTTAAACACCTAATAAGACAAGTAATACTTGAGGTTGACACCCCCCATGTTTCCTACTGTTATGTCTCTCTTACAAGTTTGTTGTTTTAATCGATCACCTCTTGTCAAGATAGAAAGTGGGTAGGTAGTAATAAAAGTATTGTTTACTCTCTTCTTGTGATGCAAAGTGCAAAGAGGTAGCCTATAAACCTCTGATAGGTTTGTCGGCATCCTAATACACATCTTTTCAGGCTCATGAACGCGTAAAAAACTATACACTATTGACTAGTGCTATCGAATGGTGAAATAAGCCAATGGTATAAAAACTATAAAAAAAAATCCAAGCTGAAATCGTCCAAATAGGAACTAATAACTACGGCGGCAACCTGGCAAAAATGCGATCGCATAAAACGGAATTCGGAATGGTCCGCGGACGATGCGATGACGCAATCTAAAATAAAATGCGAAAAAAATAAACTGCCAAATTCGCTATTTGGCTTCTCCATTTTAGCAATCGCGACACGATTAAAGTCTGTGCAATCCGAATGTCTGGTTCAGGGTCGGAGAACCCAAGGTTGGTTCCGTCTATTCTAACCTCGGTTCTAACGTTTCATTATCATCTAATATACACTGCGACACTACTGGGACAAAATATTCTCTGTATAGAATAGTTCTAATTGCGCCAATTTTTTGGTATTTATGTAGATTATTTTTTTCTATCTTCATTTTATTCCCACCCGAGTTCTAAGTTCTGTTGTAGTGAACTGCTTCTATGAGGCGCTTGAAAGTTTTATTCGGTTGGTTGTTGGGTTGGTAATCGGAACAAACGTAATTCCTAGACGAACACGTTTTTTTTCTTTTTTGTAATAATTATCCGTTTCTGACATAATTTTCAGGGAATTGAAATTGCTGGTATGATCCCTCCTCCGGTATGATTTACGGTTCTATCATATTCTTCAAAATGTTTACCTAACCTCTAACACGTTTATTCCTCTTCTATCTAGGAATAAGTTCGTCTTTTCCGGTCTTACTGGAGAAATAAATACCTTACAGGTTTCGAGTTCTCTCATTGAAAGTATTGGCGTGAATTGGAGTCACAAATGAAAACCCAGGTATTACCCCACCCAGTTTTTATCTAGGTGCCTACTTCTTCATTTTGCAGACCTGCACATGCGTACCTTAAAAATACTTTTAACACAAATATCATATAATATTTTTTTCTGCAAACCACAATAAAAACCAATAAGGTTTACAAATTGAATTTGGAAACAGTAGGCTTGAAACTGGAAACCGTCAATTTTTAGCGCTACCCACTTTAGAATTTAGAGGGCATAAGCGCTCCTAAAAATATTCCTGAGAAATTTCACCCCTTAAAAGAAATAATCTAAGAAATGTAGATTCAACAAATTCACAATTTCTTATCTGAAATTTTTTCTAAAACCTGAAGAGATCATTAACTTCCATACCAGAAATTAGTCTAGGCATTATTTTTTTTTGTGTCTAAGTAGAATAATAATGAACCAGCCGCCAGCCAGACGGTTACCAAACAAGAATAAAGTTGCGGGGGCCCCCCAATTTTCGGTTGGCCCGCTAAGTGCGTTCGAGGTCATTGTTGCGTGCAGAACCTCGCGATCTCATCTGCAAGCCCGAGTTCATAGATATCCAACACCAATATTTGAAATATTTCATTTTCAATTACATTTTTGTTCCAGGAATGTTCGCTTTCCAATGAATCAAGGACACGGACGAACTGAAGTAAACAGTATTAATTCAAAATTGATTGAGCGTCTAGCATCTGACGTTCCAGTGGCTGATATGACTGATAACAAACAATTTTTTTAGCATTGGACGGTTTTTATTTAGCTAGGTAAGTGAATAGGGTACGAAAAAGTTATCAATCAATCATTCACTCTTCACAATTCAAGTTAAAAGGAAAGCTTAAGGATGATCGTTGACAGTTGTACATATTGTTGTTGCTTTTCAAGAAGTGCGGAAAGAAAAGTTACCCGCATGGCTTGTGAAAAAGTTTAACTTGGCACATGCAGAAATGCATGCGGTAAAGTACTGCTTTGCGCACACTCGTAGGAAATAGTTATTTTCCTAACAAGTGCGCAAAGTGTTACTTTTCCGCACGCAAACACAGTTATACGAACGACGCGAAGCGGAGTTCGGATACGTATTTGCGTGCGGAAAAGACACTTTGCGCACGTGTAAGGAACAAAATTTTTCCTACGAGCTTCATATCAGGTAGGTAATAACAAAAATTAAAAAAAAAAACGATAATTTGTTTAATTATTTTTAATTAACTTGAAGGGAACCTATGCATTTATCAAAAAATTACATAACAGAAACAAATAACAGAAAATCCTCCTCAGAGCTGTTCATCTTAAAGCGTTTAAATTTGATGAGAAAGTTTGTAGATTTTTGCACCCGAGGACTTACAAATAAATAAAATATGAAAAATAAAACATTACAGGGTTTTTACAAACTAAAAGCAACACAAACAACACTCAATTACATCCTGATGCACCCTACTCGCATTGAACATTATTATCATTAGGTTTGTTCGGACTCAGTTCCGAACCAGCTCAGAATCAGCTCTGAATCAATCCACGCCCGCGCGCCTGTCTGTTTATGTTCAAATGTGAACAACCGTTCGAGCGCAGCTCAACCCAGAACCGACTTCGAACCATATCCAAACACATTATCACAGAAAGTATGAGGATTCTCACTTGGTTGCTCCTGGCCCGACCTTTTTTCTCCTTCTATCAAAGATATCAATAATATTGCTATAGACACCACTCAACCATCTGAGTCAGTCTTGATATTAACTGTATCGTTGAGATTTATCTGAATCATTCCACTTAGCTTACGTTTGTAATGTTGTGTCTCAAAATCAACAATTTCCACCTCACCGAACTTGAAATTGTGTCCAGTTTCAAAATGATGTTTGGCCAATGCCGTTTTATCATCATCATACATTTTGTGATGGCGATATTCATTTTTGTGCTGCTGCATTCTATTGCCTAGGTACTGCATAGTTTCCCCTATGTAACATTTGTTACATTCAACTGCGATTTTGTAAACTACTGAACTTTGTTTATCTTGTGGTATTTTGTCTTTGAGTGTTGTGAACAGAGAGTTAGTGGTTTCAAGGTTGTAGAGAGCCAGTGAAACATCCGACTCTTTGAAGCATCTCAATTTTTTGGGAGAGGCCATCTATGAAAGCGAACTTGGAATATTTGGTTTCTTTCTTTATTGTTGGGGGGTTTTTTAATTTATTTTTGAATCTACTTATATTCCTGTTGATAAAGTTGATGAGTGGGTAGTTGTTATTTAATAAAAGCTTTTTATTTTTTTCAAGATTGGCATTGTGAATTTCAGCTTCTTAGATTGAAAGCTCTATGCAACAGTCCGCTTATTATGCCTACTTTGTTCGATGTTGGATGGTTCGAACAGTAGTTCAGCAATCTTCCTGAACTAGAGGGTTTGGAGTACCAATTCGTGGCCAAGGACCATTGGGCTTATGATGGATCTCCATGTCAAGAAAGCTAATTTTATTATCTGTTTCTACCTCCATGGTGAACTGGGGAGAAGGGTGGAAATTGTTGAAGGTCTCCAACAATAAGTCAAGCTCTCGTCTGGGGGCAGATAACAATGTGTCATCAACATATGAATGGAATATTAAATGGTAGTTTTTTTAATACCTCAGTTATGAGATTATTCATTACTAAGTTAGCCAAGATGATGCTTGCTTTCCCATTGCGGACCCATCTTTTTGCAAGTAGATGGTTTGATCGAAATAACTAGTATCAAAACAATAGTAAACTAAGTCAATCAGGATGTTTTTAGGGATATATGTATGATTGGAGATAAACTTGAAATTTTTTTTGATGATGTCTAGGATTAGAATTTTTTTTTATGTCGGTGAACAGACTCACAACATCTAAAGATAGGTACCAACACATATCCATTCGGGATCGTGTGTTGTTTTATTAATTGTGCAGAATGGAACGAGTCAGTGATATTGAAATGAAATGTAGTTGTCAGAGGGCTGAGAGTGTTATGTAAATACTTAGCTAGGTTGTATCCTGGTGAACCGATACAGCTGACCACCGGTCTTGAATGTAGTCCTGGTTTGTGTGTTTTCCGCAAGCAGTATAGCTTGGGGGGGACTGAGTTGTGTCGCTTCAGCATCCTCTCTTCTCTGGTTGATATTAGGTCGTTAGCTCTCAATTCGGTTACTATGGTCTCTCAAGCTGTCCTTGTCTTCATCTGCAATTGCTTGGGATCCTATACAATCAGGGTTGTTCTTGAGGAATTTTCGTGTGTGCCTGCAGCAACACTCAAATAGTGCCAAATAGTGCCACCTAATGAAAAGTGATGGGACTGAGAAAGGATTTTTTGACTTTTTACCCATTTCTTTTTATTACGTAATTAAAAGGAGTAAAATATAATAGTCGCTTTCGTTTTACACGCCGTTTTAGCTAACTTTGAGATTCTCACCTAAGTTGGCGTGGCGTTCGTTTTATTATTTCTTAAATTCAGGTCGGTCAGATTTTTACCTCCCCCTTGCCGATGGCAAGGTTACCGCTAACCTCAAAAAGGGAAAAATTTCGATGTTTTTGACAGTTTTGGCTGTGGTTAAGAAACAATAATTAACAAAATTAAGGATTAATAATGTACCTAGCAGAATTCAAAGTGCGCCTAAACATCCAAGTATTTTTAGTTGTGGAAACAAAATCAAACTGATAAGGTTATGTTATCTCTCTTCTTTGTCTATTTTCTTAGGGAGTATTGAGTAAGGGTAGTAGGGAGTAATTTGAAAAAGGATAATATCCAATATCTAATAAATGTGAATCGTGCCAAATTTTTCAAAGTGGTGCCACCGTGCATTTTGCGAAAAGTGCCACTTTTGGCACAATTCTGCCCTTTGAACAACACTGTATACAATATTCCAGTTCCTTGATTAGGGTTGGTATACCAACATCATCAAAAAAAAATTCAAGTTTATCTCCAATTATACAGACATCCTTAAAAACATCCTGATTGACTTATTAACTATTGTTTTGATACTATACCATTTCCAGCATTATTTCACACTAGTGAAATTTAATTTCAAATTAATGAAAACTAAATTCACATCAGTGAAATCTAATTTCGCTCAAATGAAAATTGATTTCAAAGTAACGAAAACTAATTTCTCACAAACGAAATTTGATTTCACATTTTCGAAAATGAATTTCAAACTGACCCTAATTACATCACTTTTCAAAATTATTCCAATTTGAAAAAATATCAACATCGTTATTTATTTCAACCTAATAAATGAAATAAATAAGGGAGACCCCAAAAGAGGTGGATGGATGACATTCACCGGAAGGTAGGGAGATGATGGTAACACATTGCACAAGACCGTCAGAGATAGAAATTGGAAGAGGAGGGGAGGCCTATGTTCAGGAGTGGACGCGACTGGGCTGTTTATGATAATGATGAATGAAATAAACCCACTGAGTTAAGATAACATAAAATACAATCATAAAGAAACAATAATAATTTTAAATTATTTGAATAAATTGAACTTCAATTGAGTCTTCTCACTCTTAAGACAGCTGCATTATACCTTTCTACATGATTTGTAAAACTGAAGTTTAATTTATTTGAATAATTATTATTTTTGTTTCATGATTCTATTTTATGTTAACTTAACTCAGTGGGTTTATTTCATTAGGTTGTTGAAATAAATAACGATGTTGATGTGTTTTTAAAATAAAATAATAAATGTTTGAAAAGTGAGTATTAATTAGGTTCAGTTTGAAATTCATTTTCAAAAATGTGAAATCAAATTTCGTTTGTGAGAAATTAGTTTTCGTTACTTTGAAAGCAATTTTCATTTGAGCGAAATTAGATTTCACTGATGTGAATTTAGTTTTCATTAATTTGAAATCAAATTTCACTAGTGTGAAATAATTCTGGACAAGGTATAGTTATTTCTCATACGATCAAACCATCTACTTGCAAAAAGACGGGTCCGCAATGGGAAACCCAGCATCACCAATCTTGGCTAACCTAGTAATGAATAATCTTATAACTGAAGTATTAAAAAAACTACCATTTAATATTCCATTCATATACGTATATGTTGATGACACATTGTTATCTGCCCCCAGACAAGAGCTTGGAGTTGGAGACCTTCAGCAATTTCCACCCTTCTCTCCAGTTCACTATGGAGGTAGAAACAGATGATAAAATGAGCTTTCTTGACATGGAGATCCATCATAAGCCCAATGGTACCTTAGCCACGAATTGGTACTCCAAACCCTCTAGTTTAGGAAGATTGCTGTTCGAACCATCCAACATCGAACAAAGTAGGCATAATAAGCGGACTGTTGCATTGAGCTTTCAATCTAAGTGACCCTGAATTTCTCAATGCCAATCTTGAAAAAATTATAAAGCTTTTATTAAATAACAACTACCCACCCATCAACTTTATCAACAGGAATATAAGTAGATTCAAAAATAAATTTAAAAACCCCCCAACAATAAAGAAAGAAACCAAATATTTCAAGTTCACTTTCATAGATGAAATGATTTCCCAATGTTGAGAAAAGATGTTACATTCTCCTCATTCCAATCTAGAATTGACATTTTTTTACCAATTCGAAACTTGTGCTCTATACAACGTGATTGTCGTAGCCCGTGCATTAGAATTCAATTGGATTGCAGGTGGAATAATAGAGAGTGCATCTAATCCACCTGCAAGCTAATGCACGGGCTACGTAAATCACCCTGTATACAGTTTCTATCCACCATAATGTTCGCTACATATGGGAAAACTTTTTTTTTAGGATGTGGAAAATTTTCCCA